ACACACACACAGACACACTCAACACACACAGTCAGTCACACACACTCACGCACACAGTCAACACACACAGTCAACATACACACACTCAACACACACACACACACACACACACACTCAACACACACACACACAACACACACACACACAGCCCCACACTCTCTCACACACACATGCACACTCACACACACACACACACCCACACACCCACACTCTCACACACACACACACACACACACTCAACACATACACACACTCAACACACTCACATAATTTGTGACCGACTGGTCTTCTCATCACCTATTCTGCTGGAATCAGATTCCTTGAGTCCCTGGCAGAATCTGAACTTCGACCAGTTTTGACTCCTATTCATCAGCAATTTTATTTCCTCTGCAAATGAGACTCTGAAGTTAATATTTCCCGGGAGCGGCTGGGGAGGAAGGGGAGGGGTGCAGATGGTTTGCTACCTGCTTCTGCCCATTCATCTCCAAATTCCAGCACAAGTTGAAATTGGATGTCTCTCATCTTAAATAAATACATCTGCAGTAAGAAATCCTGTGAAAATTAAGAGCAGCTTGCCGTTGCTAACATTAATCCATTTGGTCCGTTTCATTAAAACACTTAAAGGTATTGACAACTATATACAAAGTCATGATCTTTAAAAGAAAATGCATTCACCCCATTGAACCTTAAATAATTCCAGAAGAAAATGTCTTCATTTCCTTAAAATGCAATCATGGCACTTCTGCGCATTTGCTTTTTTTAAAAAAACTCAAAACATTGACTTTATAGAAGAAAATCTATCAAACACAGCTTTGAGTTCATTTTTCTTTATTGTATCCCTCAAGGTTCTGCATTGTTAAAGTTGGTTCAGGAGATAAAATGGATTTCAGATTTGTTAATGTGGTTACTGAGGCACTTTGTCTGTGCATTGTATGATGCCATTGTTGGGTAAGTCACACAATGTGCTCTGTGACCTCAGCACCAGTATCATCATGCAAATCCCCAAATCACATGCGTCATATTTAACATTAAAACCAAAATGGCAGCACAAAACAAATGTTGAAGAAATACAATAAAATAAACATTAAAGTTGTGTTATGAAATCTTGTTGAGAAACCTAGTTCTTGTGTTTATTTAAACATTAATTATCTCTCGCAGTATATAAGAAACATTTCTTTTTACAAGTAAAAGTTTTGCACTGGAACTGATGTCAGTTGTGTACTAGACCGAAGAAATTAAAAATCACTAAGTACTACTGTAATCATCAACACTTTCATATAGCATGTGGTCTTACAATAAAAAATGACAGAAGTGCAACCTAATAATTTAATTCAACCAATAAGTGCTAACATATGAACTCTTTTTTGATATTAAGTATCTGCAATGCAAAACCTTGCAAACAGTTGTGTGGTACAAACTTTGAATGTATGAACCCGAGTTTTCACCATTAGGTGAGGAAGTACATTTCAATTTTACAGCCAGTTGGCAACCTGGCAGTGATTGCTCACCCATTATAGATTGCACCTGATTTGCATTCAATTATTTTCCATGAAGCAAATGTTTTGCAATCTACAATGAATGAATGGTCCGTTCTGCCAGGTTAATCCCGCGGGTATTCAAATTAAAAATGACCCACTCATCATCACAACCCATTCCACATCTCGTTGATACTAATCCTTCTAATGCCTAATATCTTGTTTCAATTGTCCTTTCATTGAGTCCACAGTGTAATTCATTTTCTAAATCAAGTTGTGGATCATGTGGACTTTGCAACTCTTCTGCGTGTGAATCATGACAAAATAAAGGCTTATTTCTATAAACATACCAAAGTACATAGATTAGCAATTACAGGTTGCATTTGGCATTATTACCCTTTAGAAATTCCACTTGCCTTAAAATGCATCAATGATTACTTTGCTGCACCATCACTCATCTCTTTAACAACAGTTTCTCTGTTTAAATATGTGGCCCAGTACACTAAATTGAAAGTTCCAAATAAAACAGGGAACATTATCCTGGACATTCTGTCGATTTTGCTTACGCTGTTAAATGTTTTCTTGGCCTCTTGGGGCTTGGTCTCTGGTTTGGCTTCTTTTGGCTCTGCAGTTGCACTCTTTGCAATTGTTGGTAGTGCTGAGTCCTTGGTGATGTTTGGTGCGTAATTGGCAACTGCCACTGCATAAGCATTATTTTTCTTCATGACAGAAGCCTTGTCTTTCTTCTGTGGAAGTAAATGAAAGCTATTCATTGATTTATTCTTCTTTCTGCAGAATCAGAGAATGAGACTGCACAATAGGCTGCTGTTTAACCCATTGTGGCTCTTTGAAATGGGTATCCAATTAGTCCCGTTCTCTGCTTTTGTGCATAGCCCTGCCAATTTCGATTCCAAAGTTGTTACTGCATCTGCCTTTCATCAGCCATTCAATCCAGGTTATTACAACTCACTGCGTTAAAAATATGTTCCTCAAGATACTTGTGGTTCTTTTGTCAATTATTTTGTTTATTAAAATAAGCTTCGTAAAGCAAAAGGAAAGACAGAATAGCTGGAAAAAATCAAAATTTTGAATTAAATTAAAATGGTAGCAACAGAAAAATACATGAATAAATCCAAAAATGTGTTCATCTCATGGAAGGGATAATGCTGCCAAGGGAGATGGATACCTACAGGGTCCCTCACAATGGACATGCTTATGAATGGATGCAGGTATCATGCTTAAAAAGGCTCAGACCTGTCAGCATGGAGTGGAAACAGATATATAATATTCAGCCTTTCAGATCATTGTTATTACCATATGCATCTGGCAAAGACTGCCCTCTAATCACCTGGAATGATGCTGACTCTGAAGCATTAAAAGATTCCATTCCCAACATGATACTTGAATGATGCTGGCAAAAATGGCTCATATCAATGTAATGGGTCTGCATGCCTCTGACAAGAGTTTTGGCCAGAAAACATGAAGAAAGATCCCAAAGAAAACCACATTCTCTTCCATATTTCATGTTTACATTCTTTCTTTTAAAAATGGATAACCTTGCCAGATCCTGGCTGAGGCTGATCACATGATTGTATTTCTAGAAAATTCTGAGCCCCCTGTATTGTATAGACATTCCAGCTGAAACAGACACAAAGGTTGTCTGCTTCCAGCTAACTCTGGATAAAGGAAACCATAAGACCTATTTCGCTAAAGTGAGAAATAATGCTTTCTCAGGAACTTTTGGGGGTGCCGATGTCCTTGTGGTATTATCATTAGACTGTTAATCCAGATACTCTAGTAATGATCTGGGACCAAGGTTTGAATCCCGCCACTGCAGATGGTAGAATTTGAGTTCAGTAAAAATTTGGAATTAAGAGTCTAATGATGATCATGAATCCAATGTCATGTGTCAGAAAAACCGATCTGGTTCACTAATGTCCTTTAGGGAAGGAAACTGTCATCCTTACCTGGTCTGGCCTACATGTGACTCCAGACCCACAGCAATGTCATTGATTCTAAACTGTCCTCTGGGCAATTCGGGATGGGCAATAAACGCAGGCCTGGCCACTGACGTCTACATCCCATGAATGAATAGAAAAAACATCACCCCACAATGGAAATGCTAACTAGTGGGGGGGGTGGCCATGTAAAACTTAGCTTAATGACTTTCCAATTGATCCATCAGAGTGTGCCATCAGGATCTGAAATGCATGCATTTCTCACATGACAAAATTTGCAGCTGGTGATATAACATGAATGTGCTAACACACCAACTCTCAGCAACAGATAAGTAATATGTCCCATGTGCCAGACGATTCTGCAGGTGTGGAAAGGTCATCCATGCTATTTATTTTGAGTTTCATCAATCTCTCATCAAAGTTATTGCACAAAATCAGGAGAATCTCGAGAGGTCACACGTATCCATGTTTTAAAACATCATTAAGGTTCATGCAAAACATTAACGGAGATATTAAATATTATTTCATTACTCATAAATAGCAAACATCTGTCTCAGCAGGCCTCTCTGTGTTTATTTTTGCATTACAGTCAATTCCTGAAAACGATGCTCTGCATCCCAGCAGAAAAGTGTTTGATGACCAACAAATATTTATTAGATCATATCATCATATTATTACAGCTTTTGTAATAGTGTTTCAAATGTGTCTTTATTGGAAGTATCACTGTCTAATGAGAGAGCAGCCCCATAGTCCGATAGGATTATGGCGAATTTACCTTGATTAAAACCCCAAGTTCTACTGCTACTATGGATTCTCACGTCAAATGAAGAGTATTTGGATACAGAATAAAACACCAAAATGACATTTCAACCCCAAGTCAAGAAAAGGATTTCTTACATGCCAGATCTTGTCAAATCAACCTATTCAGAAATTTCATTATACATTGCTGGAGCAAGGACTTGAACCTAGGCCTCCTGGTGTAAGGGGTAGGGACACCACGGCTGTGCTGGATGAGCAGACTCACGAACATACTGTTCCAATAAATTTAATTTCCAATACAAGATATTCCATTTTTTGCCTCACTGGATCTGTTTGACATTTATGGGCCAATTAATGAAGTGAATGAGGATCAAAGTTGAGATAATGAGATAAAAAGTTGTTGAATTATTAGTGCCCATTTTCGAGACCAATAAATGATCAGGCTGGATTCTCCCCAACATCCCACCCCTAAAGCTTTTAATTTTCTATACTTACCAAGTTCTAACACACAAAGAAATGAGGAGCCACAAAAGAAGATTTGCACCATTGTTTTCTTAGAAGTTGTTGTTTTATGTTTCCCTTTATTGTGGTTTATTTTTGAAGAGTGGCATTACATTTATTTGGCACTTCTAACAGGTTCTTAAAATTTTATTTTGAGTACGTACTCTGTAAATACACTGTCATAAACATATCTACCAAATCTTAACTGACAGTTAAGTTCATTCTTTTGAAGGTGATGAGGATACAATTTAGATGAGTGAAAATCTTGTAGCCCTCCAGGAGTTTATGATTGAGTGGAGCAATATGATTCAGGTAGTCCGGCTCATCCTCTGTGAATGTAGTCATAATAAATTACAATCCACATAATTTTATGGATCTATTGGTATTTAAAATAAATTAAAAATAAAGAGCTCAAAATTAGTAATGGATGGCAGCACAAAATGAGAGACAGTGAGTGAGAAGTCTGTTTTGTTCTCCACACAACTGTCTCTTGGGAAAGACAATTGAATGATGTATAAACCTGGAAAATTGCTACTGTCCATTTTGTGTTAATGCCAAAGACTCACATAAGCCCAAATGTTCCAACTGCACATTTTGAACGAATGACTGGCAAAGACTCAATTTACTCTTGAAAATAAAGGATCATTGCATTTGTAGAATACAAACACCTGGGCAGGAGTCCTCTTTTCTTTGTTATGTTCTTGCATATGAATATGAATGATTAATGTAGTCCATTAAGGCACCTCATAATTTAGTCTCAAAGTGATGGCTGGGTTCAGGATATCTCAACTGGGCTGCAGAGGAACTTCCTGTGAGAGGGGGAAGATCCAGTTGTTGTGGTCCATGCAGGTACCAATGATAGTGGTAGAAAGAGGAAAGAGGTTCTGCTGAGGGAATATGAGCAGCTAGGGGCTAAATTAAAAACCAGAACTAAAAAGGTAATAATCTGCAAATTACTACCTAAGCCACAAGCTAATTGGCACAGGGTCAACAAGATTAAAGAGGTAAACATGTGGCTCAAAGATTGGTGGGGGACAAATGGGTTTGAATTCATGGGACATTGGTGTCAGTACTTGGGAAGGAGGAAGCTGTTCTGATGGGATGGGTTCCACCTGAATCATGGTGGGAGCAGAGTCCTGGTGAATCGCAAAGGGGGACCTGTTCAGGTGTATCCCAAAACTTTGTGGGAAGCTAGGGAAGTCATTGTTGGGCCCCTTGCTAAGATATTAGCAGATACAATGGCCTAGGGTGAGGTGCTGGAAGACTGGAGGATGGCTAAAGTGGTGCTTTTATTTGAGAGGAGTGGTAAGGAAAAGCCAGGGAACTATGCAGCAGTGAGCCTGACGTCAGTGGTGGATACATTGTTGGATGGGATTCTGAGGGACAGGATTTACAAGTATTTGGAAAAGCAAGGACTGATTAGGAATAGCCAACATGACTTTGTGCTTGGGAAATCATGTCTCCCTAACTTGATTTTTTTTCTGAAGAAGGGTCCAGACCCGAAATGTCAGCTTTCCTGCTCCTCTGATGCTGCTTGGCCTGCTGTGTTCATTCAGCTTTACACCTTGTTATCTCACTAACTTGATTGAGTTTTTTGAAGAAGTGACAAATAAGATTGATGAAGGAAAAGCAGTGGATGTTGTCTGTATGGACTTCAGTAAGGTGTTCGACAAGGTTCCGCATGGTAGACTCGTTGGCAAGGTTAGATCACATGGTATCCAGGGAGAGCTAGCCATCTGTATGCAAAATTGGCTTGAAGGTAGGAGACAGAGGGTGATGGTGGAGGGTTGTTTTTTGGACTGGAGGCCTGTGACCAGTGGTGTGCCAAAAGGATCAGTGCTGGGTCCACTGCGGCTGAAAGGCTTTTCATATGAGGAGCGGTTGAGGACTCTGGTCTGTATTTGATGGTGTTTAGAAGGATGAGGGGGTATCTCATTGGCAGGAGAGACTAGGGCCCGAGAGCACAATCTCAGAGTAATGGGACAATCCTTTGGAACTGAGATGAGGAGGAATTTCTTCAGCCAGAAGTTGGTCAATCTGTGGAATGCATTGACACAGAAGGCTGTGGAGGCCAAGTTATTGAGTGTATTTAAGACAGATATAGATTCTTTATTAATAAAGGGATCAAGGGTTATGGGGAGAAGGCAGGAAATGAGGTTGACAAACATATCGGATATGACCAAATGGCAGAGCAGACCACATGGGCCAAATGACCTATATCTACTCCTATATCTTATGACCTTAACTGATATCAATCAATGTTTCACATATCAATGCAATTCACTGGGGAATGATCAGGGTGGAAATTTTGACTATGTTTTTGAGGCCACTATTGCTATAGTTCTGTTTCTCAATTGATAACCTCAGCAAACTCAGCACATTAAATCTGGGAATCTCATTTACTGCATTGTTTTGCACTAGATTGTATGGTGAACTTATGTTTCAAAACCATAGATTATGAATGTGCTACATTGTCATGGTTCGCACACTGAGATTCGATTAAATGTAGCTGAAAGAATTCCCTACCTTATCATTCACAACACTTTTGCCATCCCAAGCCCAGCCTCGTTTTGTAAAATAATTCACTGTGGCAAATTCTATTAATGCAGAGAACACAAAGGCGTAGCAGACAGCAATAAACCAATCCATGGCAGTTGCATATGCAACTTTAGGGAGCGAGTTTCGAGCACTGATGCTCAGAGTTGTCATTGTAAGCACTGTTGTAACTCCTGTAGAAAGATAAAAAGTAGTATCAGAAAATTCTACACTTGTATAACAAAAACAAGCCTGTACAGTGCAAAATATCCCGTGCAAACTTCTCATATATTTATTTTTTGGACCAAGCAACAAACAATGCCCAATGATTGCTAGAAACAAAAACGTTCACGGTTATTTCTTTTGTGACAAAGTAGACTTGTTTTTCTACCGCTGTTTGTGACCAAACATGTTTTGCTGCTGTGCACATTCAGAAGATATTTTTCCAAGATTATTTAATATGTGGCCTCTTTAGACAAAAAACTGGAGGTTGCACTCACAAGGGCCCGAGTTGCAGCTTCTGTCTTTTTAATAAACTTGAATTGCTATGACCTTTACGGTGTTAAATTCATTTTTATATTCATGTGTAGTGCTAGTCGCATATTAGGACAATAATAGTATTCTTTCGTGGACTTTATATAGCCTGATCGGTTCCTAAGCATGTTAATATTTTTCTTTACCATTAAATTGCTTCTTTTCTAGTTTTGAAGAGAATGGTTATTTCTTTCTTTCCCCTGCACTTGGCTTGACTACTCATTGAAATTCCAAAAGACAAAGGTAATTGCATAAAAGAAGAATATTAATATGATCTAATTAATAGTTATTCAGGATGGAGAAACGTTGACCCAGCAGTTGACTCTAAAGTAACCCTAATGTTAATCTGATGGTGACTTCTGAATCAGGCTGGGGTGATGTGGGGTAACATTACATGGGTAAAATCCGGAAAATAAATCAATGGACCAGGTTTTGTTGCTTCATAGAGATATAAGTTTATTCACAAAATGCAGAACACTCTTTTTTTGCAGAAAAATCAATCTTCATTGACCACCTGAACCCACACAATCCACATTTGGCTATCTCAATTCTCCATTGTGAGGACCATGGGAGAACTAGGGGCTGAATTTTACCAAAGCTATTAATTTCAGAGAGCTTTGTACAGGGTTTCTCTCTATGAGCTTCAGCAAGTTATCTCACACAGTTCTCCACAGCTCACCTTACTGGGTACGCACCACACCTCAATGGTGCTGCTATCCCACTACCTTGTGTTCACCAGCAGCAGAAGTGCTCACCATCGCCAGGACCTTCTGGAATCCTAGCCACCGGCACTATATTAAACTCCATGTGTACCAGGTCAATCAGTGCAAGCCTCAAACTACCTTTTACAGTCACAGTGCTTGACGAACTGTTCTGGTAACAGCCAGCAGAAACAGGTTGGCATCCTCATTTGCTGCCAGGAACCTGGAGGTCCTAGTCAACAGGATGGTGGAAATAAGGGCCATCCTCTTTCCTCAGGAACACCAGAGGAGACCAAGACAGCAGCTTGGTCTGAAGTTGTCTGTAGGGCTAATGTGGTAACCACGGTCCAGAGCAACACCAGACAGTGCAAGAGGCAATTTTATGACTTTCTGGACACCACAAGGAACGTGCCACATCTTCTCTGGAGTAACTCACTCTAACTCCGCCATTGGCTCATGGGCTACCTCTCCCACTATTACATGCAGCATCTTCCCTCAATTTCACTCACCCATCGCAATCTCCCAGTCTACTTTCTCTGCACGTCTTCTGCTCTTCTTACTCCCTCACTTAAGATACCCCACTATCTTTCATTGAATGACATGAACACTAACTGTTGAGCCAGCCTTTCATCTCACTCTGTCCCTCCCTTTGAGTTATTTCAGGAGAAAATGGTAATCAGTAGGAAGTGAGAATCAGGATGGGTGGTGAGGTGTCTAACTTTCATCTCCTCGCCCGCTATGGTGAGGAAGGAGAGAATCTTGCTTTAGTACAGAGGACCATGTCTGTTCATGTGGCGATGCCAACACCTCCAAATCCTGGAAATCAAGAATCATTGCCAAGTACTGCCCTTTTTTAAATTGTTTTATTCACTTGTTGCTGGCTGGACCAATATTTATTGCCCATCCCTCATTGTCCTTCCAAAGGTGATGGTGAGCTGCCTTCTTGAAAAATTGCAGTCCATGTACTGTAACTAGACCCCCAATGTCATTAGGGATTGAATTCCAGGATTTTGACCCAGCGACAGTGAAGGAAAGGTGATATTTCCAAGTCAGATTGGTGGGTGGCTTAGAGGGGAACTTGGAGGTGCTGGTGTTCCCATGTGTCTGCTGCCCTTGTCCTTCCAGATGGAAGTGGCCATGGGTTTGGAAGGTGCTGTCTGAGGATCTTTGATGGATTTCTGCATCTTGTAGGTAGTAGACACTGCTGCTACTGAGTATTGGTGGTGGAGGGACTGAAAGTTGTGGGTGTGGTGCCAATCAAATGGGCTGATTTTTCTTGGATGTACTTCTTGAGTGTTGATGGAGCTGCATTCACCCAGGCAAGTATTCCATCACACACATGCTTCGGGAGACAGAGGGTGACTTACTCCCTGCAGGATTCCTAACCTCTGACCTTTTCTTACATAAGAACATACGTAAGAACTAGGAGCAGGAGTAGGCAATTCAACCCCTCAAGACTGCTCTGCCACTGTAGCCATTGTAGTTATGTGGCTAGTCCAGTTGAGTTTCTGGTCAATAGTAACTGCCAGGATATTGATAAAAGGGGATTAAGTGATGGTAATGCCAATGTGTGTCAAGGGCTGGTGCTCTCCCATTACCCCCATAATGAATGCAGTCTTAACATGCCCAAACTTCTACTTCTATTTCATAACTCTTTCTCTCTCTTGCAGGCACCATAGCATCTGCACTGTTGTTGCCTTAAGAGAATAAACCCTTAGGACATCAGCTCATCTTCTGCTTTTGAGGACAAAGGCACAGATTCCCTAGAGGAAGCACCAGCTCCCATACACCCCGCACCATCCAGAGAGAATGAGGGACCTAGATGCCACTTCAGGTAGGCCATACTCTCAAGGAGATAATGTGGTGCTAGCTGAAGGAGGAACCACATTCAAACCACCTAGAAATCTGCTCTCACGACAATCCAGAGGTGTCCGGCCCCTTCACCTTTATCCAGCTTTCTATCCCCAGTCCCGTGGGAGCTCAACCTAAAGGTGAAAATACATTGAGGCAGGACACTCAACATGGCTGTGCCATGTAGCCACAGAGTCCCCCAGGGTTAACCATCTGAAAAAAACAAGCAGGCTCTATTTTAGGCCAGGTCCCTCCAACTCAGTTGCAGACCTAGAGACTGTATTGAGACACAGTGAGTGGGAAGGGTGAAAGACATCGTTCTGAGTGCACATGGGTGAAACATCATTGTAAATACATTGTCATGTTCACTTTTCATCGTCAGCTGTCAGCAATTGTCATTTTTGCTGCGTCTACAAGAATGAAAGTAGAAAGTTAATCCGTCCTTAGTGCACACCATGTTACTCCCTTTCCATAGCACCCAAACTAGCATGAAACATTCTCATGATTAAAAGGGGAAGCATCAGATGTTATGAAGGCTTCCATCAGTTTGCCATCTTAATTTTTATTATCATTCATTAATTATTTTATTATTACTTTTCATATTATTATTCAAGCTGTACTTACAGTTGAAATTACACAGGGGATGTGGCTTCTGCAATATCAAAACAGTTGAAGATACAACTTAGTTCCAATTAATGGGGCTAACAAAAAGGTCCTGCCTGTTTACTCTGTGAGATGTCAAAGGTGTCGTACCTTCTGAAAAACATAATTTTCTTACTCTGTACAATGCTGCAGCTCTCATGAATCCTCATCGTCCACTATGTAGTCTCTTTACATCCTCCAGTTGTCCAGGGCAAAGAATCCAAGGATTAAGCAGTGTCTTCTCTCTGTCCAGTACTATAATCAACCCACAATATTGAAACGTGATGGGAAGGAGACATCTTATAATCCTTGAGGTGGGAGGAGGGGACAGCCGGGAGTAAAAAAAGGTGAAGCAAACAAGGAAGAGGTGGACTCTCTCTGTCCAGTACTATAATCAACCCACAACGACTACT